TGTGATCATTTCACTTGTCCAGATCAGGGGGGCGAATGAGAGCAGATGTCAGGACGCATCATGCTGGAAGCAATATCCTGTTCCCTTCTGCCGTCTTCTATGTCCTCTCCTTTTCTCCCTTTCCCACCTGCAACTTTTGTCGCTTTAAAAGCCATTAAGACCGAACACCTAAGATTCTCCGGCAAGGGTGGCCGACCTTTGCCACGTATTAAATGAATGCCGCCTGCCAGATTAAAAAGAGAAAGAAATTTGTCTGCCTCGTGGAACAAAAGCCCAAAAGCAGTCTCCGTTTCTCACATTTCCTTGTCTGCCTCTGGTAGTTTTCTAATCTTTTCTCCACTGTTTATGTCTTTTATTCATTACTTATGTAATAGCATTTGGCAAAGTAATAAACTGATATGGAGTGAGCTCAGTTCCATTGACTTAAGTGGCATCATACTTAATCAGTCTAAAGATTAACTCTAAGTAGGACTGCACAATAAATTAAACACTGCTACGCCAAAAAACTTAATTGACGTCTGATTATTGCCCATTTGGTAAAACTCCTTTTTTTGTTTTGTTTTCAATTTCATGCCGGTGCCAGACCAAAGTGATCATGAAGACCTGAAAAAGCACTTCAGCCTTGACATGTATTCTTTGCATTTCAAACGCCCCTACACCATTATTGGCTCGCCTCAGTGAAATGCAGTAATGTGTAGAATAACAACCTTCTAGCTGGATGCAATGTTAAAACAGGTTTTCTGTTCAGTCCTAAAGGCAAAATGGCACTTTACGGCTTATTAGGCCACATGAAAGTGGTAATTATTTGTCTTGCCAAATTAAACAAAGTAATGAAAGTGCAGCAACTGCCCGACTGTGTCTCTGGAAACTTGTTTTTATCTGTTTTAGCCAATTATTCCCTTTCAGGAGTACAAGAGACTGACTGCAACGACAGAAAATACGCAGAATGCAAGGGATTTCCTCTGACACGATGACAGTCCATCACAGGACAATCTAACTACCGTGCACCCACACAAATATGAGGTAAATTTGCATACAGCAAAGCTACACAGAAATGTCCTAAGTGCCTTTCACTGAGCCACTACCTTCTTTCAGATACATAAAACTACCCAGTCAGTTAATCCAGCTCAAGTGTGTGTGGGTCTTGGCCTCTGAGTTCATGTACAGTACTTGTGTTCCCATGTGTGTGTCCCCTCAACTTAGATTCAGAAAGCACCTTGGGGAGGTAAAGAGTGGAGAGGAGTTGAGAGAGAGGTTTAGGGAGGAATACAAATAGGCTAGTGATAGTGATCAATGACTCAGGCGAGGAGGGGGTGAGGAAGAAGGTGAGTGGAAGAGGAGGAGGAGGAGCGAGGTGATAAAGAGGGATCTGAAGACGGGAGTCGGACACCTCCCTAACGACCACTCTGAGGCGGCGGAGAAGAGGAGCGAAACCTGCAGGCATGAATTAAAAAACACAAGCACCGGCACGCGCGATTCATTGATGGCAGTTTTTGACTGGCATCATCCCTCATTTTGAGAAATGTCATCCGTGGGGTGCCTCCCTGTGAATCATTTTAATGGAGGAAATACAGCTGTGTGTGTGAGTGTGTGTGCAGACAGGAGGGGGTGTAGGTATTGTTTGTCACCAGATGAACTCGTGGGGTGAGACTAATGAAGAGTGCAGAGAGAAGGAGGGAGGTATTTTAATTGGCCTCTCTCTCGTTCTCTCTTTGTCTCACTCTTCAACCCAATCGCCAGAATAAATGTTGGCATTGTACACTTGTGGAAACCGCGGATATGTAACATTTGTACATTATTATCTTGTGGATATGTTAAACTTTATGTGTGATTAATGTGTGGTTATGTTTAGGCGCAAATACCAAGTAGTTATGATCAGGAAAAGATTTTGTTTTGGCTTAAAATACCCAGTCTTGGTGACACAGTTGCCACTAGAAATGCTGCCAATGTCTTGCTATAAAACACCCATTTTTGGTCGAACCACCACCGCCAGAAGTGCGTGCGAAAAACACCCAGTTATGGTGGAACAGTCACTGCTCAAAATGGCACCAATGTCTCGCTGAAAACACCCATTTTTGGTCGAACCACCACCGTCAGAAATGGCTCTGAAAAACACCCAGTTTTGGTGGAACAATCAGTGCTGGACCACTGATTTGTTTGTTGGTCTCAAACAGGGGTCTGCATTGGTCTGCAGTTTGACAGCCATCTCACGTAGGTGTCACGCCGTCCACCATCCCTTCCACCCTCCAGATGACAAAGTCGGCTCATATGTAATCCGAACTACGTCACCTTAGAAACCTTGATATGACACATATGAAACATACAAATGCAGCGTATCCATGGTTTGCAATAGCATACAATGTCAACATTTTATCCTGGTGGCCGAGCTGCACCTCTCTCCTCTTCTCTCAGGAGGTAAGAGGGAATTTCTAACACTGGCACTGCCAACGTTTTGTCTTACTAATTGGTCAATAACATATCCTGTTACATACTTTGATGGAGTGTTAGACATAAGCTGTTTTTAAAGCACCAGGGATGAGACAGGATTTACATTTTCACATAGTTTGTGTGTCATTCATAATGATTCACCGAGATGCCGCGGTGTCTTGTAACTGGTATTCGCTTCCTGAGGAATCATTTTTGCAGCGCTTCAATATTGAAAATGAACTATTCTTAGATGTCTCGATAAAGAAAAAGATGAGCTCACCGAGGACTTAACAACACATCACAACACAACCTCAAATTTAGTCTGTGCAAACACTCTGCTTCTATGATTGAATAATTCCCCGGATTCCACATGCATTCATCATTTTTTTAACAAAATGAAGAAACATCTTTTCAGCTGTCACCTTCAACCCGAAGCTATATATCTGACACACCGTCATCTAATATGAGTCACCCTTTCAACAGCTTTTCAATGACACTTTGCTTTGAGAGAAACACTTCCATTTATGAGTCCAGCTGCAAACTAACAAAAAGGACTGACCTCATGACAAAGTGAGACATTTAGACAACACTGAAATAAATTAGCTGCTGCACATGATTACGAACATGCACGCGTTACACAGTTGTCACTTAAAATAAGCCTTGTTCAAACTGTAGTCTGACAACTCTACCTGAGGCTCTCCATCTCTGAGGGGAGGGCTGCTACAAATCACCATATTCCTGCTCCCCTCCTCTGCTTCCCCATTTCCCTTCAGCATTTTGTTTCTCTGAAATCGCAAAGTTAGCTGCTAGCTCTTCCCCTAGGCGCAATACCCCACCTTCCCCTCCCTCCCATTCTCCCTACCAACCCCCCGCCCCCCCCCCCCCCCCCCCCCCCCCCCCCCCCCCCCCCCCCCCCCCCCCCCCCCCCCACTTTTCCTCCAGTCTTCCTCTCTGTGATTGCCAACTATCCTGAAGGGGAGAGACGAAATGTGGAAGGAGTGCGAGTGTTTCAAATGGCATCACTCTCTCTTTTTCTCTGCCCCCTCCCCTCTGTCTGTCTCTCTCTATCTCTCCATCTCCCTCTCTCCACCTTTTCCTCCATCCCCATCTCCCTGTCCTTCTGTTATGGCACTGGTTCATCCTCATGTATATTTATGCTACAAAGCTGAAGAGTCAGGCAGACTTAAAATGAAAACTCCAACTAGAGAGCGCTTGTGTGCTCATTTTGTGAATGTGTACGTGCACGGGTGTGTGTGTGTGTGTGTGTGTGTGTGTGTGTCTGTGTGTGTGTGCACTCTATCTCTTGCTCTGCATGTGTGTATGTGTGTGTGAATATGCACTCTTTTATCCTTTCTGGATTCAAGCATCTTTTTTATATTCAAGGGTTGGAATTCCTCTCAACTTCACCACCCACTGCCCTCCTGTTTTCTCAGCCTCCCCATTCCTCTCATCTCCTCCCCACGTTTCAGCCACGGACAGGTGGCTCGCTTTTTTTTTCTTCTTTTTTTCCAAGCGCCTGACGGGACAGGTGTCAACCATTGACGGGAAGTGACATTCTAATCTAAAGTAGTGATTCAGAAAACACCCACGCTCAGACACACATATACACACACACACACACACACACACACACACACACACTCCTGTCATGTATATCCTGTGGCTGCAGTGAGACGGGCAGACGGGATTAGCTCATGCACATCAGCGCAGAGCGGCATAAATCTCACCTGTCTTAAAAGTCCCACACAGCCACACACTCCCACACATGAAAACCCACCAAACACAATTTGTTTCCCTTGAATGGTCCTGAGTGAGGACGCAGTGGGAGAATGTGACCACCGGCTTCAAACGAAATTCCTCTCGCGGAGGCGTTTTATCCACACTCCATCAAACCTGAGAAGTTTTGTTCCCCTCTCTTTTAAAAAATATTACATTCCTACAAATATTAGGGTTTATATGCATGGGAGCGTGTGCACAAATATCAGCGGAGGTGCACGCCTCAGTATACATGTGTATGCATGTGTGTGTGTGTGTGTGTGTGTGTTTGCTCATGCAAGCGTGTGTGTTGAAACAATGGCTGTCTTGAGAGGCGGGCTGCATGGCTGACTCTCCTTTAGTTTCCCTAAGAGGAGGAACGTGGGAAAAGAGGAATAAGTGCCATTCATCTTTTCACTGGCTCATTCACTACCTCGCTTTCTCTCTTTCACTCCACGTCTTTGTTCCCTTAAATGGCCTCTTTACTTCTGGCTAAACCTCCATTTGAGATAAATACCCTCTCGCTGTACCCCAACACATATGCACTTGGTACACAACACACACAGACACACACACACACACACACACACGCATGAGATTTCTCAAATACCCTCTCAGTGCACCCACGCCCGAACTAAAATAATCAGAAATACACTCCAGGTAAAATCTTTTGCTGAGGTGTCTTTCACAGCAGTAAGTAAACATTCCTTATTTTCATCGCTGCTCTGCCATGAATTACTGTTTTTTTTAGTAATTGACAGCAGAATGAAAACACCACTCTCTAATGCACATTATCACACACCCATCACCCCCAATACCTTCACATCCTTGGCGTTCATGCGTGTCCCTTCCTTCCCCACGAAAATGTCGTCTATATCCACCAGTATGTGCCGGTCCAGACCCAAAGTAAGCTTCCTGTCCGTGAGGTAGGAGATGGCATCCACCAAGATGAGTCTGTGGAGCCAGTAGCCCAGTCCCTGGCCAAACAGTACCCTCCTCACCCCATCATAAAGCCCCATGTCTTGTACCACAGTGGCTTGGAGGCCTAAACTAAAACCAGGCCCTGGATTATCGCCACTACCTGCCCCTGCCCCCTCCTTGGCCCGTGCATGCAGCACAGCCTGGTAGGTGGAGTGATTAGAGGAAAAAGAGGTCCAGTCCTCCCCGGGTAAAGCCCCTCGATCTGTGCCGGGCTTGGTCAGATGGAGGAGAGGTGAGCTAGACACCACACAGCAGTCCCAAAGTGCCTGGTTGGTCCTTAGCACCAGCGGGAGGCCTCGGAGTTTGAGGAGAGGTGGGGAGTTCTCAGTGGAGCGGTAGAAACCTATGATGCCCACTCTGTACTCAGTGCAGTATTGATGCAACAACTGCCTGTTCCATGTGTCTGCATGTGCATACTTTAGTAGGTTTTCATAAATGATGAGTGAATATCGTCCGCGGCCTTTCTCTGTCAGCGGCGGAAGGTCGCCCTTCCCTGAGGCGATCTCCATGCGAAACTGGAAGTGTGCCGACTCCAATATAGCCACAATGTCCTGACCCAGCTGGGAGTATTGGGACTCCACCAGCACAAGCACAACCGGGTCAGTGTGGACATGTGTGTGAGGTGGGTTAGGAGGGTACGGGTATGGAAGTTGATGGTATGGGGAGAGCGGCTGGGAGCAGGCAGGTTCGGGGGATTGTCCAAGCTGCATGGAAGGGGAGGAGTTCGTAAACAGAAAGTAGGCAGAGAGGAGAAGGGAGAGGAGGCAGCAAGAGGCCAGCAGGAGCAGGAGCCTGCGTAAGTGGCGGCGGAATCGCACGGCCACGGTCATCGCGATGTAAGGAGGTGTTGTGCGTAGGAGGAGGTGTCTTTCGTTTTTAGTTTGCCGGAGCCTAGAGAGCACGAGTTTGGGGGTTTGAGGAGCTCACGAGATTGCCTATGTGTGCGAGAAAGGAGCAAAGCCACTCAAGGGTGTGTCATGTCACCATGGCAGGTGGAGAGGGGAGCTGTGCCGGATGCTGGGGAACAAAGGTCTTCATTGAGGGAAACGCAGTCGAGGTACTCTCCTTCCAGTCCTCACGGAGGAATCACATGCAGAGACGGAGGGAGAGATGATTAATGCCTGCAGAGAAAGGGGACAAGGAGAAAAGAAGAAAGAGTGAATTTGTTGGGCAAGGTTGAATAGTATGCATTAGTGCTCCGCGAACGTGCTCGCGGGTGTGCGCGTACCTAGGTTGTGCCACCCTGGGGAATGCGAGGGCACAGCTGGTAACTACAGAGCTGATTGAAAACAACTTGCATCCTTAGGGCTTATCCAACCTCTGGCACACACACACACAAAGTGACATCACAGTTAAAAGCACAAACACAACACAAAAGTCAAGCCTCACAAATAAACAACAGCTGGTTGTGTGTTAATGTGGCAGTGTGGGGAGGTGGATGGGAGCTCAACTAATCAGTCCCATGAAGCTCTACAGAGAATTCCTCTAATTGCGCCAAACTCGGTGCACTTCTGTCCTATTTCTGAACCTAATCATCTGAAATACCACAAAATTAGAGCTGGAATCCTTTCGCCAGGAGCACTAATCTGGGGGGAGCCCATGACAGTACAGAGGAAATGGAGAGCAAGAGGAAAGTGCAAGAATAAGAGAGACAGAGCAGAGAGAGGAACAAAATGCAATGAATTATAGAAAGAGACAAAAAAGACCAGGATTAGCATCTTAATGTATGTGCCGGGAGCCAGGGAGAAGAAAAGATCCCACAGCATCTCTTTCTCTCTCTTTTCTCTCTCTGTGCCTCACTCTCCCCCTCTCCCTGTCTTTCTACACCCCCTCTTTCTCTCCTTCTGTCTGTTTGAATATCAATAGTCTTCCCTCACGTTCCCCATCCTTCTCTCCTTGTTCCTTGCCTTTGGAGAACACACGCGAAGAGAAGGTCATAGAGGATGAAGTCCTTAAGTATGAAACCAGAAAATGAAATAACTCTTAACAGTTTTCTTTACAGCCAACACCGAGCAGAAAGTAGTCATTTTTCGTTAAAGGAAATGTGTGTCATCTTAATTGGTACTTGAATGACTACACTAATTCTGTTAGATAGCGTATCTGAGTTTTATTACACGCCAGAAAAATGTGGAGGAAATTGTCTCTTGTACCAAGAAAAGTAGGGCACACTTACTCAGTCTTGGAGTAATTCAAGCTGGTGCTTTGAGATTCAAAAGGAGGAATAAAATCTGACAACTATAGGTGAGCTTAACCTGTTACTGGAGGTATGCATGTGTTTCACTATTAGGAGCCACATGAGGGCGCTGGAATTGGATTAATAATGTGAGAGACTTCACATGGAAGTTTTCCTCTTGTCATTTTAATAGCTAAAACTCCCACTGGTTATTCATGCAGTATGCAAGAAGCTAAATATACTTCTTGGTTTGGGAGCTGTTTTTTATGGATTTTGTGAAATGCTGCATGAAAAAAAAAAAGTTTTGAACCATTTTCAAATTCAAATTTTACAACAAAATGCACTTAAATTCAACATAATAGTGCATTTTCTGTATTTAAAACAGTTCAAAATGATGGTTGTTAGTTTTAAGTGCATTTTGAAAGCCACAAAATCATCCAGTTTTAATTTAATCAAATCTGAGCAGTGAATTGAGGGTGTTAGTTGAGGATAAACACTTAAAAAAAACTGGAGGAAAACACTGAAATGTTAATAAATCTAGTCAACTATTCTGTTTGAGTGGTTAAATCTCTGATGAAAAGAGAAAGCAACCCGCAGCATAAACATCCCCACACTGAAAGATTAACTCAAACTAACAGCAGATGATCCCTGAGAGTTTCCCCATCCCGCTTCCTGCCGCTGAAGTTTCTGTTAACAACGAGCACCGACTCGCCCACCTACCTCTCGCCGAAGCTGAGGCGCTGCCGTGCGGGGAAGAGGCGTGACGGGAGAGCGGTGAGTGTGCTGCTGCTGCTGCTGCTGCTGCTGCTGCTTCGGGTGGGTCCGGGGCTCCGGTCTCGGTGGCGCACCACTCCCGTATGTTTTGGATGCTGAAGCGTTGTGCCATCTCCCCTTTCACACACACTCACACTCACACACACACACACACACACACACTCTCTCTCTCTCTTTACCCTCCACTAGAGCAGCAGCAGATGCGGGCAGCCGGAATGATCGGCTCTCCTCCTCCCCCTTTTCATCATTCTTCTCTTTCTCTTACTCTCGTCTCCCCCGCGGTCCTCTCCTCTCTCCCGCTATGCTCACTTCTCTCTTAATCTCTGCTCTATGAGGTGGAGATTAGCCAGCAGAGGAGACGGACGGAGGAGCACCGATATCAGGTTGCCCGTTAACGACTGACTGCCGTGCGTAAACGCTCCGGTTTAAGAGCGCCTACACAAGTGGAGGCGATCGAGGGAGCGAGAGAGAGAAAGAGAGTGAGGTAGGAAGGAAAGAAGGGGAGGGGGCTCGGTGTGATTGACACAAACAGCCTTTTTCGCGGGCATCAGCGATCACGGGCCCCGGTAAAAGCTCACGGCCCGTTAGTTGGTGTTAGTCGGATGAGGGATGTCACGCACGGATACGCACCAGTGCAAGTTAATGGCGCGCCTTGCTGATTCCCTCTCGCTCCTTGCACAAGTTGTAGTACTCAAGAATAAGAAAGAACAGGAAGCAAGAGGGACACTTAGACTATAGGTGGTGTGCAAAAAAAGCATTTTCACATCATCAAAAATGGTATCAATCATGCGGATGAATAAGACATTTTTGGTATTCACTATTCAAAATACACTCATTCATGCATGTTCACCCACGTGTGAATCAGCCCCATTAGGCCCACTTCTGTAGAATGTCAATCAACCAGGCGCAGCATGTCTATCACACAGTTTTTAACTTGATTAGGTGTTCCCTTCTCCCTTCCCACTAGTTCATCAATCTCCCTAACCTATTTGCACTGACACACACTCACTCACACACATCTCAATGGAGCTGGTGGGCCCCTCATTCACATTGTAATGGCCCTACAATGGAGCTTATTTAGCGTGTGTGTGTGTGTGAGAGAGAGAGAGAGAGAGTGTGTGTGCAGAGAGCGAACACAAGTCTGAAGTGCGAGGAAAATGCATGAACCCGGGGAAAGACAGACACGCAGTTGTGCTGTCAGCTCTCGCAGGGTGACGTCTGGGCGGACTGTGGTGTACATACAACACCAGGCCCCGGACAAACACATGAAAACACTCAGAGATGGTGCACTTTCTGAGCACAGAGCATTTGGAAAGAGCTCATTTTCACACTAGTATCATGTTCCTTTTACTTACCCTTTACTTGGTTTGACAAATTTGCAGTCTCGCTGGAAACCCTATGCCTCTCAGTTAGTGTAATGACTAAGCAGTGGTGCTGAGACACAGAGCTTGAATGAAATATAACAGCCAGAATATCATGCCCTACAGAATGGAATCCAGAGATAATGAAGGTTTGGATTGGAGTGCGATTGTGTTTGTATGTAAATTAGTGTCAGTGGGTGAAGTGTAATTAGAGAGGCTCTTCACCCATTTCCTCCACATTGCAAGCTAAGAACCACTTCTGCTATTGTGCTAGTTGGAGACAATAAGCCAGAAATGAAAACTAGACAGCTGCGCGTGGACTCCATTGTAGGCTATGTGTCGCCATGCATGTTTGTGTTCACCTCTAAAGATAATTACGGAGACGTCCACCACCAGGCAACAGTAGCTTCTGAGAGAGGATGCACACATGCAAGCGCATGGTCGGTCAAACTCACGTGCTGGCACAAGGTGCGAGTATAGGAAGCACAAACATTGCAGAGACACAAGCAAGGATGCAGCCGCTCACACACACATGTGAGAGCACACACAACAAAAGGACTAGAGATGTGAAAGGTGTCTGAGCTGCCACGTTCAACTAGCACTCTGACAGTTAAACAGAGGAGAGCAAGAGACAAATGAGAGAGAAGAAGAGAGAGAGAGACAGAGAGCGGGAGAATGCTTGTTGTCTTCATCAGAGGCTTTTGTTAAGTGAGAGATAAGAGAGGAGGAGCGACTGATTCCCCCCCTCTCCTCTCTCCCTGCTGAGAGTTTAATGGTGGCTCTGTTAGTCTCTCGCCCCTGTTCGAGGCCTGAAGAGAGCAAATGGAGCTCGAGTGTAAAAACAGGGAAAGGCATTATCATCACGATGCATCACATCATCCCAGGAGTCGGGGCAGGAGGCGTGCAGACAGTGCAGCGTTCACGCTTTAACCCCCCCTAATTAAAAACAAAACAAAACATTGGACAGATTGTTGCATGCTCGCACCGAACACATACTAGACCCCGATGCCCTGGCACTAATAATGATACTCTTCTCTCCTGGCTGTTCCCACAAAGAGCAGGATCTATTGCTTAAACTAGCAGCTCTCTGAGATGCATCAGCTCTTTGCCTCCCACAGTGTAAACAACAACAAGCTCGAGCTTTGCTTAGGTGTGTTTGCTGCTTGATGCTGTTGCTATTTTAATGATTCCTGCTGCTTCTCCTCTGTGTGTGTGTGTGTGTGTGAGTGTGTGAGTGTGTGTGTGTGTGTCTGTGTCTGTGTGTCTGTGTGTAATCGAACCACCTACCTGCTCCTGACCCGTCCCCATGCCTGGAAATGTTGATAGATAGATCTCTTAAGAGCTCGGAGGCTAAGTGAAAGCTGTCACCCCCCCCCCCCCCCCCCCCCCCCCCCCCCCCCGCACGGGAAATTTTGTTAGATCCACCTATGACGCGGGCGGGGGGGAAAAAACAGCCCCCCCCCCCCCCCCCCCCCCCCCCCCTACTCCTCATCCCCCCCAAGCACATTAGAGGAAATATCTTTTGGCCAATCAATATATAGCGCTCGCAGATTGATAAGACAGAGATGAACGTGCACGGCAGCACACACATGTACACGCACATGCAGAAAAAGAGAGTAGTGTATAGAATAACCAGTCCCAAATCAATCTATTACTGGAATGCTGCCAATAGCAGGATTACCATAGCAACATACACCAGCAAACTATACTCTGTTATGAATAATATCAAATCAAGTCTTTATTTAGCAGCTCCAGATGAAGTCCTAATTTTAAACTAATCCAGTATAACATGACATGCCTATAGCAGCCCTGTATGTGTGGCTTTGATACAAAGAAAAAAAAAACATTCACAGTAAAGTGGAGCCTGGATTTTATCAGCATGTAATGTAGGAAGAGTTACACATGAAATAATCTCTACAGTAATAATAAGAAGCTATTAAAAGAATGAACAATCTAATTTTTGGATTTTTTTTCTTTGGGGTGGCCACAGAAAATCATAAGTCATAAGGGAATTTAAGAAATTTGATGATGTGTTGAGGTATATAATCCAAGGCAGTAATTAAAGTATGCACTGGGACCTACCTGGGATACATCCTACTCAGTATTCAGATATGATCAAAATGTCCCTTCAGTAATATATTGATTAAAAATACTAATTAAAAAAAGTTGCTATGCTACAACAGGCAACCCCACACTGATGCTTGAAATAATCGTTCATAAATAATCATAATAATAAATAAATTAACAAAACACTGTACTGTCTCTGTATTTCATTGCTTTCAGATGTTTTATAAATGGAAAAGTATGTAAAATGATTTTTAAAGTGTCATTTATGTTGTGGTGCATGTGTGTGTAGGCGATGGTTGGTAACCCTTTTCCTTAAAAAGACAAATATAGTGCTTTAATTTGAAGGAGTACATTGATTGTAAGGAACAAAACATTCCAACTCCTGGGAACCCTTAGAGTCCATTGTCATTCAGATATCTTGAGGTCAGAGGTGTCACCCAGACATCATCACTGCATGTATGTATAGGCCAAAAATACCAAAGAAAATAAGGAATTAATCATTTAATTGAATAGTTTTTATATCTTATTTATAGGTCATATGGAGGAAACATATATTGTATATTTTTTAAAATTTTGTTATAGATTGCTACTGGCTTTTTTTTTTACCAAAAACAAAAAGAAAAGAAAAGAAAAGAAAGAAAACCTTGGTGGAGATGGGTTTGCCTTTTCAAAGGCATATAAAGCACAAGGCACCATTTTAATTAAATGTGAGCTTTTCTTTGAACACAGACATATTTCTAAGGTTGCAATCTAAATTACTCACAAGGGCCTATTTTCCTTCTAACATATATCCCCTTTTCGACAGTCATGGGCTTGGCTTGGCTTGGCTTGGCTTGGCTTGGCTTGGGCCATCAGCCCAGCACAGCAGGGATTTGCATTTCCATCACAACAGGACTACCTTCTTGAAGGTGTGTCTTAAACCGATGATGCTTGTCTTGTGTGATGATGATGTTTAAAAGCAGAGTGCTGATCCAAAGTTTTTCCTTCACACAGCAGGGCAGGGAGAAGAAGTTTACCTGTTGGAGGTGAGCGGTTTGCAGAGGTGCAGTAAGAGCCCGTCGTGCAGCTCTTCATTAACATTCTGTTATATCATTAGACTTGCTTTATTGAAGAAAAGACGCTAACAAAGTTCCGCTAATTCACTGACAAACGCATTTAATTTCCTATAGATTCTTCACAATAAAAGTCCCATGTTATTTTGTGATGTAAAAACTCTTATTGTGAAGCAGCAAAATAAGGAAATCTTGAGTTTTCGAGCAGCAAGTTCACACAACCAACAGGATGCAGGAGAGAAACTAAACTCCAAACCACAGAGATTCAGTTAGAGGATACAAAAGTACTGAGAGCTGAACACACAGAGACTTTAAAAACACCTTTCTACCTGATCTCCTGCAGACAGAGGTGAGTAGAGGCTCGGAAGTGGGGTCATTGGAGGTTGGCTGCAGTTGGTGAGACGTCACCACTACCTGCTTGAGGGCAGGCGGCCTGGCTTTTGGACCTGCTCCAAAAAAGATCCATCTCTGGAGCAGCGTGGCTTGGCAAGGTGCATCTAAACTGATAATGGAAACGCAAATTTGCGTGCATGGCTTGACTCTGTACGGCCAAAAGTGACAGTGGAAAAAGGGAAATAGTTAGAGTGCCCGCTCTCTATGGGCCCCCTGCCTGCACTGTCTATATTTCCACCCCTGCTCCAGTAATTTTCGCTGCGGGGGGCAAGTGCAGAGGGGCAATTGCATCAGGATGCTGCCCTGTACCTCCTTGGGGTGCCACTGTAACTATGACAGACACAGAGCATTTGTTTTCCATCTAGTTAGTGTGAAAAGTTACTACACGATGCTCTCTCTTCTCTTTCTGTTCATATTTTTGTCTTCCTACATGTGTGTGTGTCTCCACAGAAAGTATGTCAATATATTTTTATTTTCACTTTCACACACAAATGGCTTTGGTGCCACAATGAAAGCAAAAAAAAAAAAAAAAAAAATTAGTGTGTAATGACTGTTCGTTGCTGTAATACAATGACA